AAGGACCAAGCATCTGACTGACTGTGGCCAACCTGCTGAAGTGGATTCAGACTAGCCCATGACTAACTTTGGCAATATCCCCTAAATGATTGAAATGTACCCTTATGCTGCTAAAAGCTTTGACTTACATACATTTTCTTCAGGACATCGCAATGTATTTACTATATAAGCTGCTGGCACATATTGCAGATCTGACGTTGAACTAGCACCATGCCATACAGCAACATGTCCATCTCCTGTCTGATTAAAACATTTATTCTTAAGTACTCTCTACTGCCATAAGCAGCCCACCTCTCTTTCTGCTCTAGAAAGCAAGTTATACCACAAAGATCACCTGCTTCTAAAGCAGCGCTGAACACCTTGTATGCTAAGATGTAGGTTATATCATGAAGGATCCCCAACTCTAAAGCAGCACTAAAGATGTTGTGCATTACAAAGCAGGCTGGGACACCAAAGATATCTACCTCTAACGGAACACTTAAAGACATTTTGTACTAAAAACTACAAAGGCTGCCTGCCTCCAATTAAGCACTAAAGACCTTGAGTCCTAAAAAGCAGACTAAGACCCAAAAATGCCTGGTTCGATGTCAGCACTAAAATTTTGCATAGGTATACAGAATGCCAGGATGCCCCTCATGCAGAATTACCTGTCATAAGTTTATAAGTCCTGACTATCAGTCAATTCCAAAATCTTGCTTGAAGCAATGAATTTGTGGCTGAATTGGGGTGACAACAAACTGATGTTGTGAGACCAATGTTTGCATGGGTGAAGGGTTCAAGATGAGTTTGGCCATTGACCATGGAGGCACCATGGAGTTGCAATGTGCATTGACCAGACAAAAAAAGATGCTCTGATTTATCAGTGGAGATTTTGTCCATTGCAACTTGCGGAATCACTGTACCGGTCATTTAATGTTTGTTTACATGGAACCGCTTTCCTGCTTGAGCTGCCTCCACGGTCAATGGCCACACTCATCTTGAACCCTTCACCCGTGCAAGCATTGGAAGTTTTGTGCATCAATTTTCTTGAAGTCAAAGAAGAAAAATGGAAGTGTGATGTTAATACTGCAAGTTGCATTAATAACGAGATGTAGATACACAAAATAAGCCTCTTTCCACTCAACAGCAAGATTCTGAACTCATCATCTAACGCTTAGGGAACTTATTCTGGAGAACTTTTCTACATATTGAGAATCTGATTTTTGGACTCTCGAATGATTAAGTTACCTTACTTGCCATCATTATCGCCACTTCAGAAAAGCTAAAATTCCACCCATTAACTCTGTTTCTGTCTGCACATCTGCTGCTTGACTTCCTCAACATTTCTAGCACTTTATGTTTTAATTTTAGGTTTCCAGCATCCATATTATTTTGCTTCTGAAATTCAGAATGAGAGGTCAGGAAACCTAACCTTTAAAATCAACCGATCATTCAAAAAATTTTTTTAAAAATTTTCAGCCTACACCTCTGTTCCTCTGCTACTGGAAATAAAATTTATGAATACATTTTTAAAAAAATGATAAAATGTTTCTGTAAGCAATAGAATTTTTGGTGTCCCAAATATATTCAAACATAGAAATATATTTCTAAACAACTGCTGTACCTTCTGAGAAATCGATTTTGCAACTTTCTGTTAGCTGAAGAGATTTAATAAAGTTCTAAGCTTCAAAGTTGTAGTTGGGCCTGAAACTCCCAGTTTCTTTTATCATTCACAGCAAGTCATCTGATTTTTAGAAGGGTGTATGCTTTTTTTAATCTGTTCCTTTCCCCATGCACTTCATAGAATTACATGGGATATTATCCTGGGATTTCTTGCCAAAGTCACCTCTCTGCCCTACAGTGCTGCATTCACCTAAATAAAGCAGAAGTACTGGTTGTCAGAACCAGATCTGGCAGAATTAAGGCCTGCCATAATTTCAAAGGCCTGCTTTCCCATGACAACAAATCACAGATTGTCCACATGCCATTGACTAAGAAACAAATTCCACATATGTTTTCGCAATTTTTTTGAAGCTCTTCAACCAACATAATTTGTGGATTTATATTACAAGATTCTGCCACAACCATATGCAATCTGCTGAGGCTTAATAATTGAGCGAGAAATAGCACAGGCTCCCATTCAAACTATCCTAAAACCCCTGGATTTGAATTAAGGCCAGATGGAAGTTGTACTTTGCTTAGATCTTCTTCCAGAGGCTATCACAGGATTATCTAACTCCATACATACTGTGGACTAGCCACTCTACTGCAACTAAAAGTATTAAATATAACACAACTAGATACAGGTATCACTGAGGAAAAAATCAATAAATTGAGAAGCGCACTAGGGAATGATGCAGAGCAAATCTTTACCTATTGTGATAGTGCCTTTCATTTATGTGTATTTATCTTAGAACTTGAAGACAATCAGGAGATAAAAATGATTCCTGCAGTTTTGACAGTTCTAGAAGAATTTTATCATTATTAGAAATCAGAACCAGGAGATACAGTTTTAGAGGAAGAGAACTCCCATTAAGACAGAGATTTGGGGAAATTATTTTTCTTAGATGGCTGTCAGCCAGTGGAATTCTCTTCCACAAAAAAGTAGCAGTCTGTGTAATTGAATTTATTCAAGGCAGAATTAGACAGATTTTGACAGACTTGCAATGGAGTAAAGCCTGCGGCAAGAACCTGAGCATGGAGACAACAAGGTGCAGAGCTGGATGAACACAGCAGGCCAAGCAGCATCATAGGAGCAGAAAGGTTGACATTTCGGGCCTAGACCCTTCATCAGAAATGGGGGAGAGGAAGGGGGTTCTGAAATAAATAGGGAGAGAGGGGGAGGCGGATAGAAGATGGATAGAGGAGAAGATAGGTGGAGAGGAAATAGACAGGTCGAAGAGGCGGGGATGGAGCCAGTAAAGGTGAGTGTAGGTGGGGAGGTAGGGAGGGGATAGGGCAGTCCAGGGAGGACGGACAGGTCAAGGGGGGGGGATGAGGTTAGTAGGTAGGAGATGGGGGTGCGGCTTGAGGTGGGAGGAGGGGATAGGTGGGAGGTGGGGATACGTGGGAGGAAGAACAGGTTAGGGAGGCGGGGACGAGCTGGGCTGGTTTTGGGATGCGGTAGGGGGATGGGAGATTTTGAAGCTTGTGAAATCCACATTGAGACCATTGGGCTGCAGGGTTCCCAAGCGGAATATGAGTTGCTGTTACTGCAACCTTCGGGTGGCATCGTTGTGGCACTACAGGAGGCCCAGGATGAACATGTCCTCTGAGGAATGGGAGGCGGAGTTGAAATGGTTCGCGACAGGGAGATGCAGTTGTTTATTGCGAACCGAGCGTAGGTGTTCTGCAAAGCAGTCCCCGAGCCTCCGCTTGGTTTCCCCGATGTAGAGGAGGCCACAACGGGTACAGCGGATGCAGTATACCACATTGGCAGATGTGCAGGTGAACATCTGCTTGATGTGGAAGTTGTTTTAAACATGAGAAACTGGTGTGCTGCAGTTACCATATCATTTTGGCTAACCAGGAGATTCCCATAGTCTTACTATCTGCCAGCAGCATTATGAAAGGATTTTCAGATTGATAATCAGTCTGTTTATCCATACCTTCTGTGGTCATCATGGGACTTGAAACTAGAGTTTCTGGCTCAAACGCAGGGACATTACCCACTGCACCACAAGACATCCCTTGTAAAAGCTCATACACTTTTAAGAGACAATAAAGGTAAAGAGTTTGCCCCTAAAACTGCTTTTTAAACCACGTAAGTACAAAAGGAACAAAGGCATTTACTTATTTACTTGCAATATGCATGAAAAATATTATTTATTGTTCAGATGCCACTTAAAAATCTCTAAGGAAATCCCATAAAATGTTCTTTCGAGATGTACACTCCTTCCATAACTAAGCAACTACCTTACTCCCCAATACCCTGGGCCTGCAATACAACTAGAAAATCAAACCATCATTTTACATGTTTCTTCAAGTATAATATGTGTGCAACTAAAAAGCATTCCAGATATTTTACTGAATCCTATTCCTCATCGAACCACTTAACACTAACATTTCTATTGATCTCTGTATCCAATGACAAAATCATCGAAATAAATCACTTCAAGTATTGCTTCAGTATCTTATTTTAAACATTCCACCAATTTTATTGATACTTTTGAACTCTATGGAATGAAGAAGAAACAATACCAATTTGCTGGCAAAGGCCCCCATAGGTCCTGAGGAATACAATGCAATTGTAAATATTGACAAAAGAAATTTAAACATTGAGCTAAATCTAAGATTGTACAAAAAAACTAATAAATTCCATGATGTAAATAATGCGTATTTCAACCTGTCTGATTCACAGTAAGGAATAGCACTTTAAATTGTTTTGCAATTTTCACACATGATCATCCTGTTACTTTATGCAGTGCGTACTAGCATCAGAGCATTCATTAAATATTGCATTTTATTTTAAGTTAATTAACCTTTTGCTGGATAAATGGGTAAAATCCGGCCATTTGAAACTGTACAGCAGCATGCAACTAACACGTGTTGTAGCTATTGAAAGCAGCAGTGGAATAAGGATTGACCTTCATTAATATTCTGCTCCACATCGTATAGGTCAAGATTGCATGCCCTATCCACTTAAGTAATTAAACCTTTCATTTGGAAACATTCTGCAGGAGGAGATGAAGCTTGAGAGATAAATGCCTGCTTGCTTGATGCATTTAGCTAGTTCCATTACTTGATAGACTGTTTTAAGTAGCTTCGGTTGCCAGGTCCTCATAAAAATGGAGATGGATTGGCCAGGAGAGAATAGTCTCAAAGGAAAGCTGACTCTCATCTCTTTCATTGGATAAATTTAATTGTTAGCAAAGGTGGGCACCTGACTCAGGAGACCTTTCTCTTGCCACTATTTGCGGAGAAATGACTCTATCTGATTAATTTGTAAAATAACCTTGTTTGACAATAGGAAATGTTACTTTTAGTCGTGCAGTGTTTGCCATCACTGTACTCCAACTCACCTTCCAGGCTATTCGATTTCCATGTGAACCATGTTCTAAGGCAATAGGGAAATCGCCTCGTTTATAACACTTGCGAAATGCTGTAGGTCCACTGGGTCTCTCGCGAAAAGATCCTGCAGATGAAGGACCAACGACCTTGAAAAGCAATTAAAAAATGTACCTTTACAACATTTATAGTTATCTGAATTCTGTTTCATCAATTTATAAATTTACAAACAATGATAAATTTAATAAAGGTGTTGAAGATGCAATGACAGTCTAGGGTTTGCCAATGAAAGCTCAATTTCAAAGAGATTATAAGAATAGGTTTAGTCTTGGCATAGGTCAAAAAAAGACTTTCCTCCACTGCCACCTTTGTGTTGCAGGAGATTAATGGTCAGTGAAATTGACAAGTATTCTTGGAACCTGGCTGAACTTTGTACTGTGAATATTCATTTCTATTGCTGACATCATAATCGGCCAATAGCTTGAGTTCCCACACAGAAACAAAGAACTGCTGGAATCTGCGTCAAGCACACAACAAAGGACTGTTGGAATGTATCCGTGCTCTCCCCTGCAAGAAGCTGCAATATCAAGAGTGCAATCACAGCAGATCTGAGCACAGTGCTGCAATTAAGAACAGCAGTGCAGCTGAGGGGAGCTTCTGTAAGTTTCTCTCTTCACAGTACCCCTCAACAAAGGAGGGAAACCACTGAACAACTCATTGACTGTTCGGAACCTATCAACATGCTATTACAAGTGAGTCCCTTAAGGAATTTTGGCCCCTTAACATTGTCGCATAGCAGCAACCCATGTCACAATAGCATTCGCACACCAATTAAGTGGTCACCAGGCCAACATGTAGCAAATCTACCACGAGTATTCAACCCTCAATTCACCAAATGCTTGCTATCATGAAATCATGCCTAGCTAATAATGCACACCACAAAATATAAACAAACACACACAGCAATATATTTCATTTACTCAATGTCTGAATGCTGCAAAAGACTAAACAACAGGACACCACTGGAATATAGTAAAGAGAAACAAAATTAGGCGATTCAGCCTATTCAGTCTGCTCGACCATTTGATCATGGCTGATATATTTATCAACTCCTTTCTCGTGCCTTCTCCCTACAACCCTTGATCCCCTTACCAACAAAGAACCTATCTATCTCAGTCTTAAATACACTTAATGACTTGGCCTCCACAGCCCTTTGTGGCAATGGTTTCCAAAGATTAACTACCCTCTGGTTGAAGAAATTGCTCCACATCTCAGTTCTAAAGGGTCATCCCTTTAATCTATGGCTGTGCCCTGAGGTCCTAGACACTGCTACTGACAGATGTGTATTCTCTACATCCACTCTATCCAGGCCTCTCAGTAATCTGTAAGTTTCAATGAGAACCCCCTTTATCTTTCTAAACTCCATCAAGTACAGATTCAGAATTCTCAACTGCTCCTCATATGACAAGCCTTCATCCTCAGAATCATTCTTGTAAACTTTCTCTGGACTCCCTCCAAGGCCAGAACATCCTTCCTTAGACAAAGGGCACAAAACTGCTATAAATATTCCAAATGCAATCTAACCAGAGTTTTATACAGCCTCAGCTTTACACTTCCACTGTTGTTTTCTAGGCCTCTTGAAATGAATGCAAACATTCCATTTGCCTTCCTAACTGCCAACTGTACATGTATGTTAACCTTAAGAGAATCTTGAACTAGGTCTCCTAAGTCCCCTTGAGCTTCAGATTTCCAAAGCCTTTCCCCATTTAGAAAAATAGCCTAGAACTCTATTCTTCCTATCAAAGTGCATAATGTCACACTTCCCCACATTGTGTTCCATCTGCCACTTCTTTGCGCACTCTCCTAGCCTGTTTAAGTCCTTCTGCAGCTTCTTCGCTACGTCAACACTATCTCCACCACCACCTTTCTTTGTGTCATCTGCAAGCTGAGTAACAATGCCCTCAGTTCCTTTGTTCAGATCATTAATGTATAACATGAATAGTTGTGGTCCCAACATGGACCCCTGCGGAACTCCACTATGTCATAGGCTATCATTCTGAAATAGACACCTATATCCCTACTCTCTGACTTCAGCTAGTCAGCCAATTCTCTATCCATGCCACTACCTCGCCCTTAACATCATGGGGTCTTATCTATTTAGCAGCCTCCTGTGTGATACTTTGTCAAAGGCCTTCAGGAAGTCCAAATAGATCATGTCCACTGGTTTTCCTTTGTCGAACTTACTCATTGCCTCTTCAAAGAATTCTAACAGATTTGTCAGGTATGGCCTCACCTTGACGAAGCTGTACTGACTCAGCCCTATTTTACCATGCAGTTACAAGTACACTGCAATCTCATCCTTAATGATGGACTCTAAAATCTTACCAATGACCGAGGTCAGGTAAAATGACCTATAGTTGCTTGCCTTCTGCCTCCCTCCCTTCTTAAACAGTGATGTTACATTAGCCATTTTCCAGTCCTCTAGGACCTCCCTGACTCTAGTGATTCCTGAAAGATTACCACCAATGTCTCTGCAATCTCCTCAGCTATCTCTTTCAGAACTCTGGTGTGTAGTCCATCTGTCCTGGACGATTTATCCACCTTCAGACATTTCAGCTTCCCCAGATCTTCTCCATCATGGTGGTCACTATGCTCATCTTTGTCCCTGACTCTTGAAGTTCTGGTACATTGCTAATGTTTTCCACTGTGAATATGATGCTATTTTCAGTACCTCTGCCATTTCTTTGCTCCCCATTGCTGCTTCTCCAGCCTCATTTTCCAGCAGTCCCGTGCCCACTCTTGCCTCTCTCTTAAGTTCTAGATAGCTAAAAAAAAACTCGCTATCTTTTTATATTACTAGCTAGCTGTCTCTCATACTTCAGCTTCACCCACCCTTATTGCTTTTTCCGTTATCCTCTGCTGGTTTTTAAAGGCTTCTCAATCTTCTGGCTTCTGACTAATCTTCACACATTGTATGCTTTTTCTTTTGCTTTTATGCTGTTCCTGACTTCTCTTGTCAGCCATAGTTACCTCATCCTCTTCTTCTTCTTTGGATTGGATTTCTGCTGTGCCTCTCGAATTACATCTGCCATTACTGATCCACCATCTTCCCTGTTAGGCTCCCCTTCTAATCACCTCTAGCTAACTGTCTTGTCTTTGTAGTTACCTTTATTCAATGCTGTTAAATTTGATTCCAGCTTCTCCCTCTCAAACTGCAGGGTGAATTCTATTACTTCCAGGGATTCCTTCACCTTAAACTTTTAGATCAAGTCTGCCTCATTGCCAATCACAAATGCAGAACTACCTGTTGGGATTCACTACTGATTTTCCCAGTCCACCTGCATATTGAAAGCTTCCACGATTACTGCAATACTGCCTTTCTTACATGCCCTTTACAACCCTCACCACCAGCCCCCCACCCATGCCAAGTACCCATGGCTATGGAAAATGCTTATGTTAGCATTATGTGATGCTGAGTTTGGATGAGAGGCTTTGTTGGCCATGGCAGGGCAGAAGGAAATAGTGTTGACATTGGATGTGTGCTGTGCGCAGTCTGATAGCATGCTGATCACTGGGTAGTGTGGCAAACATTATGTCAAAACTTATAGGGTCATTATGCCTACCACTCATGAGCTTGGTTTGTTTTTCACACAGGTTTCAGTAATGTTTACCCATCCCATAAAGCAAGGAATCACTTTTTAAATGAAGAAGAGAAGCAAATGATCAGAGATTGAGCATCCATATTTGATTAATGTGCCAGAAGCAGCAGCATATATTTGCATCTCAGCAGATTGCATAATTCAGATATTTGTATAAGTAGCATTGCGCAGGAGGAGCTGTGTAAAATGGAGGCATCTAAGAACAGACACCTCAGGGGAAGCAAACTGTCACAGTGATGTTCTGCATGGTAGGGAAGACATTTAGAAATCACAGTTTGGGACTCAATGTTTGAAGCAGTGCAGTTGATGTTTGACCATCTGTCAAACTTCTAAGGCGATGCAATCTCTGCAAATGGAGTCCATGGAGCAGATCATGAAAACCATGTGTCAGGGTTTTCAGCACATGAGCTCCTCTTATTGGAGAGTTGTAAATCATAGAGAGCCATGTGCAGCAGTACATAGAGTGCAAGCAACAGCAAAGTTATGTACTGCATTTAGTGGCTCTTGCTAATCCCAGTAACTGTGCTGGCCTTCAGAGATTCAGGCAGTGCAGTCAGAGGGTGGGCCCCAATGGGTCCATGAGCAATTAGGTTGATCACTACAGTCCTCACAGCTGCTGAGCTAAAGACGTGAGCAAGCTGTCTCCACCCCCACCAAGGAAACAAAAGAAGCAAGTCAGAATGTGTTTTGCAGAGTATATTGGTGCATTGATGACTGAGTGGGTCACTGGTGTGTTATGAATATAGATTGTGAATAGTTATAGTTTTAGTCCTAGTGACAACGTAATTAAATCACTGTTGTTAGCAATGGTTAGCATGATAGATCTATATAAAAGAATGGGCTGAAACTTTTTTTTTTGGTTAAAAGTCAATTTCATTGAATTACACGGAGGTTTTCTCACCAAACCTACCTTATTAACTTCCTACATCATCCCTACAGCTCCCCTCTAGTCTGATTCTAGCCCCATTCTACCACTCACCATACCTGAAACTATTCACCACTGCTGGGATATCCCAGGACTGACCAGCAGTCCCAGCATGGCATTAATTTTACTAGTCTATTTTACACTCGGCCAAGCAGTGTTAGTACAGAGCTGCCCTGAATTTCCCCAGACAAGGCAGACAAGAGGAAATAGGCACCCTGCTCTGCAGGCAGGGACCTGAAGGTCTTGATGGTGCAGAGAACGGGCATCCTCTTGCTAACAGAAAATGCCGGCTTGGGCCAAGGTTTCTCCCCAGGTCAGTGAGGTCTCAGTCATCTGGAGGAATGCATAGCAACGTAGGAAGAAGATTAATGGCTATTTCCACTCTGCCAGTGTAAGTGTCGCCAACTTCTGTTCAATACCTCACACTCACTCTATCTCTGCTACTGTACGTACCTTTCGCAAAGGGTTATACTCTACCACTCTCATGATTGCCTGCAATATCTTCCCTCAATCACCATCACCCACCTCAACGCCTTACACACTAATCCTGCATACCATCTATGTT